ATATATGTCATTTTTTGCTACTGATCTAGTACGGTTCCTAAAGCATTCAATTTGTGTTTTTAGAGCATCTCGATGATATCAAGCGCCTCCGTATGTATTTTTTTACAGTTGGGATTAAGAAAGCGGAAATAAGTTCTCAACATAAATCAAAGGGCGTGCAATCAATCGTATGCCGAAATGGTTTTTGTTGTTGTTGTTGTTGTTGTTATTGAAGCGTGGGGCATTAGCCCGCGCCGTCGCCCCCGTCCCGTCTGCGTGATGGAACTCAACACGCATTCCAGAGACCGCCGGAAATTCGATTAATTTTGGTCACCCAGCAGTTTGTGGACCGTGCTCTTCTTAATTCCTACTTGTTAGATAATCGCCTAAACAGTCTAATGATGAAAATAACAATGATAATACTTGGCTGTTTTTTTTTCTGTGTCGAATTTTTCCAAGCGATTTTTTTCTCATTCATGTTATCAGTAAAAAAAAGTTCACGCTGAAATTTTGGTCATACACACATATACATCAATTTATACATATATATGCACACATATTAAATATACATATATTGAGCTGCCTAAGTTGGTCGCTATTCTTTTCATATCATCATACATGGTCTACGGTAGGTAACTTCGACGAGGCATAATGCGAACTCTAACAGGATAATAAATGTTGCAAGATAATATTGCTAAAACTAGTATGAGAAAAAATGAAATTATGTTGCTTTACTTTCGTATATCGGAACTTTCATATTATATTCCTGGGTTATACCATAGTGGTTATAGGTACCAACCGGGGAAAAAGCAGTTACAATCGTATGGCTCACATATTTTGGAATATTCAAAGATTATTTCTGTATATATCGGAAAAAAAAACCTACATCGTTTCTCTATTTTCTCAGAGAAATATCGCCGAACCGATAATAACTGCTCGAAGAATACTACCCTCTATCGTTTGAAGTATTTTGGATAGCTATACAACTCTTTGATTCAACTTGTTTTTTGCCACTATCGACAGCTGTCGTAAGGTTCGCACAGCGGAACCCCTTACATATACATTTTACATTAGACCCGATAGTCTACAATTAATAGTCGTATCTAACGGATCGATCATAGCGGCGTTGTCCTGTGTGTCGTGAAGATACACAATGAGGTTGTACGTAGCATCGTTTTACACTGGGGGCCACCTATCACGGATCGCCGAAATAACGTATAGAAACAAGACTATATATTTAGCTGTGGCAAAATCATGACTTCGAAGGATTTATTTGCGGTCGACAAATAGCAATTCAACATACATAAACAGGAGTGTATATATATATATAAATATATGCGTTATGTGTATATATATACATACACATAACGCAGAGAAACAAGAGGAATGCTATATTTGAATGTGTAGCGAGAATTTGTATTATACGATTATAGTAGTGTAGATATGAGGGAAACGGTGTTGTTAAGGTGAACGACAGGATCCGACACTGCTTTCTAGATGAAGAGTTTGTAAAAGAAAGAAACGGGGTCCTTCGCAGCCCAATATTTAGAAATAGCACGTTGTTATTGTGAATAGCAAGTACCACCCTATACTGACCGCAGCAGGGTTGGAGACAGAGCAGAAAAACCTATATATAAATACGTAGGAGTGATGGAACTCGATCACGTTTTACTGTGAAGACATGGTAGGCCAAACATGTTTATAGCCTAACGTCATGATAACCATGGTACGCTAGATATGAAATATAAATCGTAAAAAATAAAACTTAATGTTACGAGCTAAGATTATATTTCTAGAATAACAGGTAACATAAGATGAACTACAGAAAGGGACACGTGTAAAATTATGATAAGACATGCAATTTATATATATATAAAGGAAATTTGGGCCATATTTAAAAGTAATAAGACGAAACGCAAACCTTCCAAGGGTATTGATTTAAATTGTTTGCGTGCGTGCCACGCAACTAAGTTGGGCAACAACGAGGACTACACAACTGACCGAGCAATCGGTGTCCCCCAGTAGCAGAATCAATGACTAGCACGTAACTTGAACTTTGTCCACCCAGCCGAGTACGAACCACACGAAGTAACTAATGCAATATCTGAGATAAGCAGGAACAATAAGTATATGGTTAATTTTGTTTTGTATTTATTGATTACCTATTTATTTTTATTATGTAACATGTTGCAATATAGTTTTCGAGGCACAAAATTCTGTAATTACTATCGTGCATCTCGAGCGGGATAGCATGACACTTGCACATCGTTGAGAACAAACCAAACGATTTTGAATTACTCTGTACTTGCTCGTATAGTTTACTGAAATGTCCGACAGCGACATGTTTCCATTTGTGCGATAACTTTAGATGCTGATGAAAAGACGGATTTCGGTAAATCTACCATAGACTAAAGTTAACGCTTGTTATCCGGATACGCACCCCTCTCGGTATGTGCTCTGTTCTTAATATTGTGATCATTGCATTCATCATACACTGTGCATAGCTTGATCCCGAGAGACTAACTGTGTACCGTACATGCATGATCGACTAAATGACCTGTATTAAAAAGAGGGGGGTAAGTGGCGTGTATGTTAACATACGAGCAGGTTCTCAAATCATGGGATATGGTTGTAATGCTTCAATTGGAGAATTGCTCAAGAAAAAAAAAACAAATAAACTTAGGCAATGTCCAATACATGTGCTTTTGGTTTTTCGAAATCGAAGACTGAGATGCTAAGATATGGTAGTGAATAGCGTGCCGGCTGTGGAAGACAACCATTGCTATCAAACGAGCTATGTAGTGAAGAGGTGCATTTTCAAGTACTCTTCAATATAGCAAACACCGATAAACTTTTCGACAAAGCGGAAAACTTTTACGGAGAAACTTGACCAGGATCTGAACGCTGTCAGAAAAGTGTGTACATGTCCAGTGCGATCACCCTAAACTGTTACGCATTTTATGAAATTCGTTTTGTCCATCATGTCTTCGATATCTATGTCCATACAGACGCCCGGATGAGAGCTTTTCCAGCGGTCTCACCTGAACGAACTCAGGCCAAAAACGATTGAAATTATAGGCAAGCACCTAAACCGTCTGTGTATAGAAATACCCGACAATACTACATATAGCAACTCGAAAAAAAAAAAAAAGGAGAAAAAGCTCTGACGTGAGTATCTATTTTAGGATGTTACAGAAACAGCACAATTGTTGAGACATTTAGCCCTATACACAGAATATAGGTCAAACGTGCCCTAATTAATACATCGTAGAATAGGTGCCCTGCCAGGTCAATGACCAGTATTATTGGCTAGTTGGCATTTTATCAACAAATGACCAGTTTATTTTTTATTTACCAGGTGACAGAATATGTGAATTGAAGTCAAAAGGCGCAACGTTAGAAATTAGGACAAAGAAAAGGCTATATGAAAAACGCAAACGAACGAATCAGCCAGTAAACACTGATTTATCGATAATAGTTTGCAGTTCCTGTTTCCGGTAGTCCTGGCTTTAAGTCTAGGACCAAATGAGAAAGACAGTACCATTTTAATCAGCCCACAAGAACAAGCTCCGTAGCCAAGATGTCATTAATGAGTGAAAAATGCACTATTCATTTAACCAGATCCAAAATGATATTTTCCAATGCAGTTAGCGGATCAGGCTGAACTGACATTCAAAACCAATAGGTAGCTCCCAAAACCCACTGACAAGACGAAGCTAGAACGACTTTGGTAACTGACTGAGTCGTTGATTAGTTCGCAAGCTCAAGACAGAATTGGAATCAATCACATCCATTTATGTACACTAAATAGATCAGGAACTTGGTCGACGAAATCGAACTTCTAAGATCGATAGAAGGCAGTCTCCCTGAAGTTATTATCAGCGTCTATAATTAGATTCATGTACACTGCTATGTGTTACGAACGATACCTCCTATCTGAAGTTTGGTAAAAAAAAAAAACACAAACAGGTAATAATACATACTAAAAATATCGTAGTGAAATTCGCGCACCATGTGGTGTGTTCACAACAAAACGAAAACATCCTCTAGTATATTAGGATGTATTTTTTAGCGTGTAATACTTCGAGCCTGAGGAGGAGCATGTTGTGAGTTCAAAACGCAGTCGTGAAGACGTCTCATCAAACGCAAACAAAAAAACTATTAAAGCTCGCGTAGAGAAAAGTAGTAAAAAAGTCTCCAGTTGATTTAAGAGAAATAATAGTTTTACAAGGAAATGACAATAGCACAATTCTATTCTATAGTTGCAAAGCAACGCGTTCTAGAAAATGAGGAAAACACTTACATTATATCTAGAGAAAGAAGAAAGAAAAGGCCAAACAGGCCAACATTTATCGGGGCGAAAAAGCAAGGAAAGGCTGGACACAAGCCAAAGTAAACACTGTCCATGTAAGCGACATTAAAAGCATTTATTAAAGCTTCACAATAACGCCTGCGTTATAGTTGAGAACGTGTAACATATACTACGGTGTTATTTTCCAATAGTTTTAAATTCACAGAACGTTGCATAAATCACAGTTCTCTAACAAATGAAAGCATTTTTTCGAAATAAAATTGGGAACGGTCGAGTTTTTCGAAAAAAAAACAAGTTGTAGATGAGTTCGGTAGACTCATAAGCTTTGGGTTGTAAAAATCGTGTGAGAATGTAATTAAGTCAAAATGTTTAGAATCAATTTTTATTATCGTGTGCATTGATTGCTATTATTTGTGGTTTTCAAAGGCACGCTACATATTATAACGTAACTCGAACCGAACCTCAAACGAATTTCAGTTATGATCAAAGGTAATACGTGGAGGAAAAACCTGTAGTCAATAAAGATGTCCGCAAGAAAAGTATAGGAAGCATGTCTTTAATTCAAATATATAGGTAGAAAAGGTGGTGCGTTCAAAATTAGGAAAAACTCCCGCTGGCTGTTTGCTGCAACGGGCATCCTTTTACCTGCTTCTGGTACCAGATAAAAATCTTTGTAGACAGTAACAACAGCAAGATGGCCATGCGATACTGTAGTGCGTCGCCTTCAGAATTTGACAGAAAATAAGCTAATTTTGTTCGAGCTGGGCAGATCTGTACCAAGATCGTATACTTCGTTTTTCAGCTAGGATCTATGAGTGAAGATTGTTCGCCTTACCTCGCCGTCAGGCAGCCGTATCCTCAGGCTTTTCTAAATGCGTCTCACGGCTCTGTGCCACTAGATCCATTGTCAGTTCCACTTTGTTGCACTTGTTCTATATTGAAGACGACTGCAGCAAAGTCTATTCAAAGCTCAGCCACTGCTAGAACAGTTTACTATTCCTACTATTATAGGCATTTTTGTGTTACTGCAACTAACCAATAAGGGACTATTGTTCCCCTCATAGCGATTATGCTCGCTCCGTAAACACGTGTGGCCATTTCAGCCAATATTCGTATTGCCGAAGCCCAAAGATTTATCCCTGCTGCTTGCTAAATCTTTTGTAGCTTTATTTGGTTCGATATCGGCAGATAGATACAGTCTACGGAGGCGATCGACAGGGAATTCTTCAAAGCTCCCTCTGGTCTATGCCATTCTGCTATCCTCAAAGCTATAACTCACCTGTCTGGTTTTCCTGATCCAGCTCAGTGTATGTTGCATCTTGACGCACGACCGAGTCTTTTTTTTTTCTAGCTAATAGGTACGTCTGCGTCTGACTACCCTATGTGGCCACGGTTCTAAGTCTGCAATTTTTCTCTATCAACGCTGCTACAGCTTTACCCGTTGCTTAATACTGACACGTTGGAAGCTCGTTGCTAGCTACGTATTCTGGATACTTTCATTGAAAAGCGCCGTATATTCCTCACGTACCTTGCGAGGCTAATTTAACAAAGAAAAAACCTTGCATTATTAAAAGATCGAATATTGTTTCTTTTTATTCTTATTGGCTACTTCCGAGTAAGAATTTGTTGCTATACCAGTTCATTTGTCTATTTGTCCTATATATATCTACATTATACCGTTGCTGCTGTTACTAGCGCTAGCGACGGACACGTATCTGATAATTATACATAATGGTAACGTTCACTGCTCTTGACTGATCTATTCTAGTTTTCATCAAAAAACAGATTTGAAATTTATGCCATTGATGTACAACATAGTGCAAGACTGTAGCAGCACCAATTTCATTTAGAACGGGATTTTTGTGAAGCGTACTAGAGTACGCTTTTCAGAAAACCTCCTTTCGAATAACGCACAGCAGAAAATGTCCTGATCAACTCAGTAACTAGTCTGTTTTTTTTTTATAGTAGATTCTGTTAAGTTTCGATGTACCAGTATTATCGTGGCTTTAACGTATCCGTCAGACTTCGAGTTTCAAGTTTATATATATATATATATATATATAAGTTAGCCGTTCCATGAGAAGGATGACTGGCTGCCCCCACCACGAAACGAAGTCTGTCTGTCTACGCGCTATGGATTCGAACCTAGACCACAACGTGTCGTTACCCAATAAGCTTTAACATACCGAAGCCTAGCTGACTGAAAACAAATTTTGCCCTGTTTAATGTTGACTCCTTAGGATTTTTACAGCACACTTCAGTAATCTGATTTCATAAGTAAGTATTGTAAACTAGGCGCTAATAAAGACCTCAGTAACGATGAGTGAATAATAGAATACCATTTTACTAAGGGACGCGAATTTTTCTTTACATTTTATGCTCTCTGCTAGAATTCGAGTTGTGGTGAGAAACGAAGTGATTTGGTTAAAAAAAAAATCGCCCGCTCTCTGTTCTATTAGCGTACCCGTCAAAATCAATCACCCAGTTGATCCATCAGTGAAGCTCACTGAACTGTTGTTTGGGCCCGTTGATCACACTGGAGGCTCTCGGCGTCGTTCACTCGTTAGCGACGCGGGCACTTTCAATTCTACAGCAATGGGTTGGAGTGGCTAAAGTCGCCAATGAAGTCGTGTCAAACCAAGGTTGGCTAATTTTTTCGTACGGACGTACGATCTCAGCTAGTGTTATGTCGATTTGATTAAAGTACTATAGTTACAATTTATTTCGTCAATCAAATAGGTCTACGTGTACGAAAACATCTATTGCTGACTAATTTGACGTTGTGGAGCGTATCTCGCCTTTTGAGCCTCGACGGAGATGGTCAATTTGGCTGTTCTGGCCGACAGAAAAAGAAGTGAGAATCTTCAGGATGTGTATAGAACCGTAAAAGCCTTAGTGGTCTTCACTGCTAGCAAATTTTAACTCTCAAACATGGAGCTGGCCGACAGGGTGCAATAGTGGACCCCATTGCTTGACATAAGTTAGCCAGCAATGCTATGAACTTAGAAGGATACAGGTATAGAGAACTATTAGGTGTACGTACATTCTCAAATGAATTCAAATTTCAAGTCTGTACATTCGTAATCTTACCTAGGGATTATCCTATGTGGAATTACAACTGGACTTTCATCTTAACCTTTACCTCTTGAATTTTAAACTAAGGTCATCACTCCCTTCCAATGCTCAATTTGGTTCTATCTAGTTTGGTCCTGGAACACGAATCATTTTTACTAGTATAAAATATTATTACCATCAGCGTTAGCCCAGTGTGATACAAATAACTTTATAACAGTCTCAGCTGACAGGATACTAGTAAGGTAAATAAATTCTTTGTACGCTTTATAGTCTCCTTTGAACTAGGACGAAAACTCTATTATGCCCTTCTCTGAATTCTGAAATATGTATTTAGAATTTTAGGCGGATGCGGGGAGTCTAGAAATATCGATACGTATTACACTTAACCGTATGCAGTCCTTGCAATAATACGTATCACTACGTGAAAACCGATACGTATTGATTATTATTATGGAACGGCTTGTAGGCAACTTATCCAGCGACGATCGACGTGCGCTTCGGAGCCGGCGCGTTCTCATGGGCCATGGCGTTCGACAGAGACCGAAAGAGCAAAGGGGGCGCTCCAAAAAGAAAACTATAAAATCCGCTGGAGGAACAAGCCCATCCAGTTCTAATCCGACAAAGCCAGGACATGCCACCGGTATCCAACTAACAGAGATGCCTTCCAAGGTTGATCCCAGTATAGTTTTTCCAGCATCTCACAATGACACTCAATTTATATGTATTGTTTGGTTGTTTATAGCTCATAAACTATTGTATGTATAACTATGATCAAGTACGGTTCATTTGTTTTCAACAATAGCGACTAGGCCAATTTGCTCAAAGGCGAGCTCAGTCGTGTTCTCTGTAATTGTAAAGTTGAACAACATTATAACATTTTTTTTTTTATCTCTTGGGGTCGCGCTAGTCGGACGCTAGTCTTTTGCGGCAGCGGAAAAAGGTGTATAGGCTAATTTAACGGAGACTAACGCTTAGCTTTGTGTAGGCTGTTGTACTTCATATGGTTTACTGTTATTACTTTAATTGTCAAATGCTGTCTTTCTCTAAAGAAATGCGTTTATTTAGGGCAACACAAAGACGAAGGCGAATTTATCCCATCGCCGGAAGAAAAAAGTCAACGCTGGGAGCAAAAGGGACCAGGGCGTATTTGCTGACACGAAGATTGATTTAAAACCCGAGCCTAAGCTTACGAAGCCAACGATCGAGGAAAAAAAGGAAAAAACTACTTCAGAAAACGAAAGTTCGGTGTCGGGTAAGACTGAAAGCGAGATCAGGAAGGAAGATGAAGAACGCGTCAGGAAGGCTAGTTGCTCCTCTTAATTTCATTTCTTAGTCCGGCAGATTCAAATACTTCGATGCTGCCCTGTCAAGGCTGCATGTTCAGCTATACGTACTCATTAGGGACGTGGTATGAGCAATAGTTCTGCCACAGATGCCAAACTCACATTGCAAGAAGTATTCTAATCACGCTGTAACGCTTTCCCAAGAACACTAGGAAAGGACGTATTGTTGTATATCTAATAATATATATATATATATATTATATATTATTCTGTAATATTATATTAATTAGGGGTATATTATAGATGTACCACTTAGTGAATACTAAATTAGCTTTTACGGCGGATGTAAAATGGCTTCCTTTATTTCCATATACTATCTTCTTCTATGTCTAAAGTCTTCACTATGATATCCAGAGAAACAACCTTTGTTTCTCTAGAATAAGCCTACACACCGTATTAACGGGCATGGTGACACGAAAGCTCGATTTCACGTTCAAGTTATTTTTAGTTTATAAAGAGCCAGCGGAGTTCGTATTGTTACTACACAATAACCAATATAATCCTTAAATTTTACAGGCCCGTGGTGAACGTTTTGTGATACGGGTCTCACTCTCAGATGATGTGTATGAGCACATGCTGGATGTGGCATCGGGCCCTCGGGGCATGAGTCCCAATGAGAGTGTCGTCCGAGCGGATCGTAATCGACAACAGGCAAAAAAAAAACATGCGAGGAAGTAACTGGGCGAAGGTCGCATGCGCCAACTCGATGGCCATTCAAGTAACAACACTCGGGACGACCATTCGCCGGTAAAATAGCGGAAGCCTTTGCACAACTGAGACGCTTCCTGAAGTACGTGAAGCTGGACTTGCCTGCCTGTTCACAACAATCGTGCTCAAGTCTTACCGATCTTATCTAATTATCCGAAGAAAGTACCGAGGAAGCGTCTCAGTGTCAGTGATCTGGGCAAAAACCATTCAAAATGCAGCACCTGTAAGAGAATGAACTACATATAATTAAAACAACGAAAGCTGCAATTACAAGAGGCCTTCCCCATTAAATGGCTGTCCACGAAGATACTTTTTCAGGTTTCCCAAAGGAATGGCGATTAAAATGCGGTACCGATTTTTCGCCTAAAATTTCGAGGCTTGACCACAAAACATGTCGAGGCAATGGAATTTATAATCAAACACTGTCGAAGAAATAGAATGTGATGGAAATTTAATCCACGGAACTGTTTTAGCCATTATTGCTGTGACATCATATCCGGTGCTATCCTACCTTCGAAAGCTGGCCTCTCTACACGAAAAAGCTGACATATGTTAAAAAATCTGTCCAATTGATTCTTGCAAAAACAAGCAATACGAGTGTACTAAATAAAACAAAGAAGCAGACTTATTCCGTAAGATCTAACGGCCGAGAAACGCGGCGTTAGGCACGTCGGAAGTTCACAGGTTCTCTGAACATGCTATACTGACAGTTGCAATAGTCCTTTTACATTACTTTTAAAGATAAGGTTTTGGTCACAGTAAGTCCATAAAAAAGTAATGACAAAATGTTTTTGTAATATATATATATATATATATATATATATATATATATATATATATATATATTGTACTTTTAAATGTATTTTTAGCGCTAATCGAAATTTTATTTAATCTTTCTTGTTTAACGCAATACCGTCAATAATAGTGGTTGAGCACCTGTAATTATTAGACAGAATGTGTTGGTTTTATTCTGTTGGACATGGCCGGTTCAATCGGTAACAAATATATATATCTCGTAAAGTATATCTCGTGAAGTTTTCGAAAACTCACAGATGTAGCCTAAGAAATAAACGTTGCTACCCAACGAACACATTCGGTAGACATGCTTCTATATAAATATCAATGATTATTTTTACAAAATTGAAGATGTTAACATAGTTGTCAATCGATACTCCTGATGAGGTCCATAGCCGAATTCGGTTTTGGTTTACGCTGACACGTACGTATTATTAACATGTCTCCTTTACGTGCTATGGGTGACCCAATGTAGCTTCCCTATTGTTCACTTACTATTCAACGCTCATAGCATACACCATTGGCTATCGCATACATTGTGGCGCAGATACCATTATAAACAAATTCGTTAATGGGCGTCGTTTATCTCATCGTCCTTAGTTTGTACCCGGCGGTATACATGTACCACTGTTTCAACAAGCCTTCGTATGTATCGAGCATCTTACGTGGACCCAGATGGTAAAATATAATCCCCGTGACAGCTCAGTACGTAACAACGTTTCATAACGGGAGCCAGCCGTATGACGGAATACCCAACGACGATGTCGGACGTAAAGCTCTAGTTCAGATGGTGAAGTGTATCCTTACATATTTACCGGAGTTCCGTTTTTAGAAATACAATTGATTGTTATAATACATGTTCGGTGCAATATGTTTGTGGATTAATTATTTAACTCATTATTCACAGAATGTACCGAGTCGCATGAATTTACCCAACCAGTCATATTATGCCATGTCTGGTACTCGCGTATGTTGGCCCTCATTATTCAATAAGATTAAGGTTTTTTTTTTCGTTTAATTTTTCGACATTAGAATTCTCCTTCTAACAACCGCATATTATTTACAAAGTACTCGAAAAAAAAACGAAACTGGATCATGCTATTTAGATTACCGAATAATTGTTATGCCAATAAACACAAAAGATAACAAACACCTCTGGCAAACTAAAGCTCAATCTTCGTTTCATGATGACCTTACACCATATGCCCCAAACGGCGCCATACAGTTTGAAGTCTTGTGACGCTTGTTATGCGAGCTGTGTGAGGCCGTTTAGTCCCGCCATCATTTAATACTTGTGTTCCATAATTTATAGTTGAATTGTAAGATCGGAACACTTGCCTCATTGGCTAACGTAATACCGCTCTTACTGAAAGCACGCTTATGATTTATTGCAGAAGTTATATTTATTATGAAATTCCAATGTTCGTAATCGACGACCGATGTGGGCTATATTCATTCTTGGATTATTTGAGTCCCTGTTATAAATCTAAAACTCTATTGACAATAACGGAACTGCAGAACTGTCTACTTATCGCACCCGAACTTACATGACAAATGTAGAGATATCTTCTCTATAGTGTCTTGCCTTTCCCGCACGCTAGAAACGCAATATACAATGTTACCTATTTTTAAGTAAACTTCAAGCGTACCACTTGTATCTTGGTCGAATTGTGCTTTCGAAAACCTGTTCCATCAATTCTACCATATCCGTTATCCGCGTCCAGTTAATGATTATTTTGAATACTAGTATAAACCGTTTGAGGTCGTGATCGTTCAATGTGCAGAGAACAATGATGTCAGTCTTTCTCGTGCATAATTCTAGATGCACGTTTGCACAAAAGTATATTATTCGTTTCGTTTTGCATCCTTCACATAAACGCTATAATATAATATTTTTGTAAAAAGCTATTTTTTGAAGGGTAATGCCTCAGCAGCGTACTTACATTTTCTGAATTTCCGCCAAAGCGAAGTTCAAATTTATCTGTTGTCTGCTCAGTCTCAGTATTTAGCGACCAACATTCGATCAGCTTTTAGGTGGCATTCGCAAAATACGTATTGTCCCGGACGATCGGTCGACTGACTGACTGACTGACTGAGTGGGAAAGCTTCTTGTAGTGTATGTGTGTCTATGCGTTCTAGAGAATCTCCGCAAAGCAAGTGTGAAAAAGTCCTATGTGCGTGAAATCGAGTGAATTCGGCTAAATGCATTAGAACTGACCCACGACAAGCACGTAAGTGTCGGTACGCTGTTTTATTCGATTTCAATGAAAATAACGGGAGAGATCAATTGAGTTAATTGCCGATGGATTTTTTACGTTAGGAATTCATCTCCTCCTCATGTACATCCTGCAGGGCCCTTGTGGAACAGTGGGTCGCAGCTCTCGGGCAGGTATCACATAATCTATATAGTGGACCGTGCGGACGCGCAGTTCGGCATACGAACGATTTTCACGGCAAAAACAACAACAGCGGTCAATTTCAAGTGTGCGTGAAAGATGACTGTGTTATATTTCGGAACAGCGAGATGGTTTCAGAGATGATTTAATTGAACCTTGCTGGCTGATGATACGTTAATATAGCTAGAGAGAAGGGGATGAAGTAACACAATACGAGAGCTGCGCAGTCTCACTTGGCCTGACGTCGAGAGTCTTGACGAGGGAAAAAAATCTTAGGTCGGAGAATGGACTAACTAGTCTATTAGCTAACTGATCAACCGTGGAAAGAACACAGCGGCGCTATCCAGTCATCGTTATACTATAATACTTGTAGTGCTGCTCGGAGCTTTCAATATGATGATGAACGAGCCACACACGTTCAAAACGAACGTGAGAAACAATTATGATTGATACGTTCACGTGAGGGTCATTTTGGTGGGGATGTTGATAACATTCGCAAATTTTTTTTCTCCTCATTTTGACTTAATCCGCCAACCAACGCAGAACGCTTGTGTAGCTTGTTCACAAGTAGTCTAAAACGAAACGAAAAAATTGATATATTATAATCTGCGCAAATTGTTCACTATGTCATCCCACGAATTAAGATTATAGCATAATTAATTTTTCTCGTGTTACTGACCGTATCGGACTCGTTGTATATCGAATATATAAAGACAAACTGAACCGCTGGCGGTCGGCTTCCAGGCGGATATGTGATTCAATAAGACAATAAAGCGGAACATAGAATAGAACAGAACAGAGCGGAGTGGCCGCGGTACCCTCCGCAAGTGTTCATTGTGATATCTGCTACGGCTCGAAATTTGACCATTGATTTCTTTCAGACAAGTCTCACTTATCATTCACAAAACTCAAGCCAGCACTAACAAAACAACCAAAGCAAATGATTTCAGAGGTCTTTCGTGAGCTGCGTTCGTGACGGTTTTAATCGAGTCTGAACCCGATAGTAGGCCGTCAGGTAGACAATCGTGGATTTCTTTTTAGTCAACAGATACTTATGGTGATGAAGTAGTTTACACTAATTTTATTTTTGCTAATGACCCTGGCTTGGGTTCTCGAACCAAAGAACTGCACGAACAAACTTCAATGCCGAAGCCTTTGATTGAATGGGAATATTGAGAGCATTTAGCGAGACCTCGGAAGATATAGGATCTAGTCTACGTGTATTACATTTAGAAACTTAACGAATCAAGAGCATGAAAAAAACACAAAGGGATTAAGCATGGCTATGGATATTGTCTTCGAAGACTGAGAGAAAAGGGTTAGCTAATTAATTACGCGAACGTACTTGGTCATTAATGCTGATAGGGTAAGGATATATTTGTAAAATTTTTAGTTAATTTCACTATCAGTGGAACGCGAATTAATAACAAAAAACAATTGGAATTCCCGCAGCACCGTAAGGAATCGTTGGATTCTATCTTGCAATAAAGACTGTAACTTGCATCAATTTTTTGGAAAAAATATTTCTCGTTTTATTAACCGTTTTCGTATAGTCGTTATAACACCTTTAACTTTCGAACGAATTTTCTCGTAGGTTAAACTCTCGATAGTTACCCTGTCATTTCCATTTCAGCATGACCGAAGGGGCACGGAAAAGAAAACAGCCTGACCCAAACAGCCTTCTCACCCGACACGCTATGGTAAGTGGTCTGTCTTTCTATTATGTTATTATAAAATATATATATTGCTAGCGGCAACTAGAAAGGTTTCCATAATGATTATAAAAGTTATCTGGCGTTAGGATACAATTGTAGTAACTGCGAAAACAACAGTCAAATTTATTGGTGTCCTAATAACGGCTAAATGACATTTCTCATGCGATTCAACACATCGGACGCCGGTATTTGTGCGGTAACTTTCACTGTAGTTGTGTAGGAGACGATAATGGAACCGATTTTTTTCTCGGCTTGTCGGCTCTCCGTCCCCAGGAACTAAACATGGTAGTAGATAATTAGGTATAGTGCGATCCAGACAAGAGTTCTGAATAGGACTCGCAATAAGCAGCCTAGTTTATCTAACGTGTTATAAATGGCAGCATATTATGCCATTTGCGATAAGCAATATAGGTATGCTTAACGAGCGAGCTGGCTACGTTTTTTGTGTGGCTTAAAGTAACTTTGCTCATTCTCTTGTGCATACGCTACAAATGATTTCCTATATAGATGCAGACCAGCACATTTCACTTAATATTTACGATAACAGTTAAACGCTGTATATCACGGTCCTTTCGTCTGTCAAAAGAAAATATTTATTGCTGTCGTAGGGCAATCGTAGTCATTTACGCGGTAGCAACAGTGTTCTCTGTTAAGCTGATTACAAATATGCCTAACTGTTCGTATTTTGTGACGTTCTCTATGCTTCTTTATACTGTAAATGACAGACGAATCATTGGCTTTCTAATCGGATATTGTAAAATACGGACGTGTATGTTACTAACAACTTCGCAGTAGCATTGTCAGACTTAAATAATAAATACACTGAAAGAGAGAACAGTCGTTGACGTCGTTCCACAGACGTTTCCTGAATTCGATTAACTAGAATTAAAAACAATAAATAACAGAGGTAATTTGTTTTGTATTAGAACCACTACTGAGGTTGCTGGACTAGTCTTGCAACTCTACCTTTACCAGTATGATATATGGAGCACCATACATTATAAATGGACACCATATATTATAAAATTCTTTCGAACGGGAGGTCCAAACCATTTGCTAGTTGTGTATTTAATTTTATATAAATTTCTGAATAATTTGCAAAATTAGACATTAATATAGTCGTTACGAAGAGGACCAAAGGGACTTCGGTTAATAGTCATCTAGTAATGTACCAACATCATATGGGGCCTCAAACAAAATGTATTATTTGATTTCGTTGAATGAAACGATAACGTTTACTGCTGGCTAACAGAAGACGGCTGGACAGTTAGTTTGCTTTATCAGAATTGTACGATTGATTCTGGTTTGTTGACGATTATCATTACCAGTCAAAAACAAAATTATATGGAACTTCACGAATCAGAGACGGGCAACCATATCATTTTTGAATATGGAAAGCTAGGTACAATAAAAGCAGAATTATGCCAGCACAGCCATATTACTACTAGAAAGATCACTACGATATGACGTTCAATTACGACCAGATAGGTTATTGCATTATACATACAATTATCGTACAACGTAAAATTCAATTATCGGGCTGCACACTTGATGGATGGGTGTTCATTTTGATCATCAGTGCTTTTTACATGGCAGTGATATGTGTCGTCAGTTTTATGACTCAAACGTATGCGTCTTGGGATGCGCAGTTGTTAGGAACTTACCTAGGAATCTCGCGATGCCAGTCGTGTACACAGAATCAAATAAGCTCGTATAAATAATGCAGGTCCTTGATGGAATTCCGTACAAGGCGCACATACAAAGGAAACATTGTGAGACGCATGGAAAGACAAAGAAGAAGACGCAAAGAAAAACAATGTTAAACAGTGTACTAGTGAACATTTATGTTCATTTTTGATGTGCTATCGGTGAACAGAAAACCTAATCCAAAACTATTTTTTTTTAACCCATTTTTCCAGTCAATAATCCCGTCTCGGATTATACACTGTACCAATAAGAAGCAATAATAGTTTCAAGTACGATGGACTCATATACTGAGAGTTCTGCAGTCTTTGCAGAATTTACAAGCTGCAGCTGATAGACATCACTAATTGTACACCGTTAATATATAAGACTTGGTATTGGGTTGGGCCCGCTACTTTAGAAGGTTCTTTGCCGATTGAACTGAAGAGAGGCGCAAGGATAAATAAAACGCTTTCTAGAGAAGTTTTTTAGATCAATGTGTATATTGTTTTAATCACTGACGGGCCATTCAGATCGTTTTCTCTTATGGATTAGTCCTACTTAAACCACATTTATGGCTGTGGCAAGCCAGCAATCAAACCTGTCAGTTGGAATAGTAATAGCAGAAAATAGTCGGGCATCGGTTGTCAATGCCTCACAGAAAGGTATCGACTAGACAAATAATTAATCTATAGAGCTATTATATGTTGTAAGAGAACTATAGCCATTTTCTAATGGATTGTTCAGCTGTATGAGATCGTTTAAGCGTACGATTAGCTTTATATTTATAAGAGCTTTCTGTATCGTCTGCTCCGTGTAAACGCAATTACCAAATTATGCTTGTAAGGCGTTGTGCTGAGGCGGCCTAGAGTTAAAGCTGTGAAGCTGTCGACCGAGACTGAAAGCTTACAATTTTTGAGCAAGGTTTGGTATAGCGGTGGATTATATTTCTTGAATTCTTGGGAATGACGTATCGGGCGGTAGTAAAGATCCGAATCACGCGCCATCTCTTGCTCTGATTCTCAGTTTTGGACTCTGTTCGAAAATACCTCAAAATTGCTAAAACTGATTTCTGTCTGTATAGCTTGAATCAGTTCAAAACGGTATCTTTGATTAGCGGGTTTCGATTTACTTATGATTATCGGAGGTCAACTATATTCTCACTGGATAATTTTCACTGTAAATCATTCCCTTTAAATGAATCACTGTTCATCTTTAGAACATCAGTGAAATCACTGTAAATAATTCCCTCCCCGCACTAACTTTGATGGCAGCGTTTTCGGTTCTATAAGTACTATCAAAAATTCAAAGATAATCTTAATTATAACACGTATAACCCTGTTGGTAATTAAATGAAAACTGCCTCTACATTTCGTTATGTCAGCGTCAACTGCACCAGTTCAGATTCGACCACAGTCGCGGTTTTTGACGTAACCTGCTTCACATTGCTGAGTATTGTTTGTTTCGTTGAGGCTGCCGTAGAATTTTTATTGGGTGGCTCCCGTTGCGTGGACCCCCATCGTTGACAACGTCACAGCCGCAGACAAACGAACCAGATTGCGTTACATCTGCCACCTGCCGCTGCCGCCGCCATAATCGTCCTATCGCGTTGGTCATGCTGCTGCCGCCACCGCCGCCGCCGCCGCCGCCACGGCGGTTGATAGTAGTCTCGCCACTCATGCTTGTCAGTCAGTGAGTCACGCAGTCACTCAGTCTGCTAGTGGGATGTTGGATTTAATGCTAGCAGACGGCGTAAGTTGCCGTGGTTTCTGTGGTCATGGTTAGTGGTGAAGATGAATGCTCCGGCCTATACATCCGTAAGAGTTTTGTTCGAGTTCGCACGGCCGTACTTCTCTCCATCCGCGCGGCCTCTCGAAGATACAATCACAGCGAAATGAGCAATGACGAGTACCGTTACAGTAAAGGTTCTTTTGTAGTTCTCTATACTCACACAGAAACCGATTAGAGACTGTTTGATCCATAAATTAGGCCATGTCCACTTCATTTGCTACCTGGCAAGCGCAACGTAAACTGTGTACACGAAACGGAAATCTGAAGAAAAACTGAGCTGCTACCTGTGCTGGTTGAGCACAAGAACAAAAAAAAATAGGTAGTGTTGCGCGCGCAAGGTTTTTCTAACAGCAAGAGAGCGACATTGGGAGGAGGGGCAAAACTGGTCCCTCCACGAGGAGGGCTGGCAAGTACGATGATCATTATCGCTTGTCTGGCAGAAGTGTTGAAGCATTTGAATCGTTGTCAGGCGAGCGTCAGTTCTGAGCTAATATTTTGCTTTAGCAAAGTTATAAGCAAAAATCAAAACCGGTAGTGACAGAGACTAGCGCAAAGTCGAACGACTGATAGTGCCCTCTGTCTCGCGAAATGTTTGTTTGCATTTTCTCATCAAATGTTCAGCGGAAGGCAATTAACATATATATGAATATTCTCATGATGAAATTTGCCATTTAAAGTTACACCTAAGAAAACCTCGTGAGGCTGATTAAAGCCAGCGTTTGTTTGATCAAACGCGAGCTGCGCTAATTTTGCGTGATCATTGTTTCCTTGAACGAACTTCGGACGGACTGAAGTGGCTGTGAGAAGCAATATACGTTACCCGCACAACGTAACGTGTGGACTGGTACAGTGATATCTCTTACAGTAGAGAGCAGGATGGCAACAGCGCGTGGGAGGAACTGTTGCAGCAAGACAGCATGGCCAGTTCTGGTGAGAAACGCATTAAAGTATTACACACACACGAGATTTTTTCCGTTTTATTTTTTTTTTTTCATTTTTATTGACACATTAAATACCGGAAACATCAGAAACTGTTTATACTCCACAAACCGTGTTCTGTCCTACCGGCTTGATCCATCAACTGTGTATGCCATTGTAGTAGTACGCCCATCTTTAATCGTATGTTCGGTCGAAAGCGTGTCGCACGTGACGTTACTTTTTACAATTTGCTTCACGTAGGATTCTTCCAGATCAACATTCTGATGTCCATGAACATAAACTTTCATTTTGTTGGATGTTTTAATTTTAAATTGTAAATATGTAAAAATAAAAATGAAAGATATTTTTATAAAACTGACCCTTTTGTAACGAATACTCTGGAGACTTTTATAATTCTGGCCTGTAGATTTCCGAATTGTTTAAAAATATTCCTGAGTAAAATCTCAGGAAAGCTGCCTTACCAAAAATAACCGATCTGTTATTTTTGTTTCGACGTCAAATTTTAGTCTAGTATTAATAACTGACGTACCACGTTGGCACGCCACACATTAGGCCGGCCGTGTGAGAACACCTAGTACTACGTTCATATCTTGGACGGGAATGTATATATATTAGAGGGAACCCCTCCACCTTTTTTGTAAATACACCTACGATTCGATCTAAAACGACCAAGCAGTCCTTAATGTCGGTACGGGATCGAGGTCAAGGAGCCAACATGAGCCTTCAGGTACTTTTTGGCTTAGATGTCGTTCTTTGATATAACTAGAGTGCCCGTACAAGAAAACGTGCCTTTCAGTAAAACAGATTATGTAGCCATATGTTGCCCTCACTGGCTTTTTTCCGCAAAACTTATAGTAATGGAAATAGTGAAGGCTTGAGAAGGAAGATCGGGTAAGATCCGCCGGATAAAAACGCGAATGCGGTTCTATCCTTTTTTGTTTAGATCGTGCCAGTTGCACATGTGCTTCGTTACTAGAGCGTAGTCAACAGAGCATGCACATCAAAAATGTTGTTCTCGCCGGAAAAGGCAGGGAACTGTCGTTTGAAGCGAGATACAAAAAAATGTCTGATAAATAGCAGCGGTAATCAAGTAACTGCCCCGGGGCACCAAGACAATTATTGTTCTGCCTCTGAGTAATAACAATATCTGTTGATGGTGAAAAATCTGACTATGTGGTACGGAATTTTTTGGGCACTTAAACTTCGATGAATTAAAGGCTGATGTCCTGAGACTTATACGCTTACTCAACACTTGGATTGAGTCAGCATAAAGTAAAACAAGTTCCGGCGAAACAGAACCTACTATTAGCCTAGAGTTACCTGCTGTATTTACGTAGACTGTCTTTGACACGATATATCGTCACTATATCTTTTGTGTGTACTTTAGGGTGCGCCATAGTGACTTAACGTGTACCTGTTTGTAACGATTATCGGCCTGGTTTTATTGATGCTCCCTATTTCAGTTACTATGTTGATGAGTTTATTTTAAAGGAGGAGAACATTTTCCGTTCTAAAATAGTTAACTTGATTACTGCTAGTGCTAAAAGAGGGTACAAATTTTCGCCTTTTCAAATAAATCCCGAACCTTCACAGTGTTGTTTCTCTACATTTTCTCAACTAATCTATGTGTCGAGTCCACTAGAATCTTTTACTATATAAAATTAGTTCGCTGTGAAACCGATTCGGCTGAAGTCGCGTCAAACTTTTGCGTCATTTTTTGAGCTATACTTATGTCATAACTCCAGTCATCAGGTTTTGCAGCGTTTATTTATAGGATAATCGGGTCACAAATCAGTGCCGACCCTGCGGGACCGCTGCCAATTAGCAAGTTTTAATTAAGATTCATAGCGAGCATCTCCGTATCACAATATCCCCATTCAAATTGACAATAGGAACAGCGCATTGTCAAAAAGCCGTCCTATCATAAGGCCGAATGTAGTTGGTATACTACCGTAGCAATACAACATTATTGATCGATTTAGTGTGCCCAATTGATTTTGTTTGTCAAACCAATAATCCCCCGTACAACCCCATGCAACCCCAGCATAATTGAGGCAATATAGCGGAGTAGCACTGCTGTTGCTGAAATATTGTTCGCATTGGGTTAAACATAACTGTCAGAGTAGTAAGTTCAGGCTGGCAGAAGACTTTTGTGGCCGGATATGCCTAATTTTCGTGGGTATATGCATGCATAAGTAGATATTCATAGAAAGCGACGAAATCAAAGACGTCCAAGGGAGGCATTGAGCATGATGCATATATATATATATATATATATATATATATATATATATATATATATATTTTTAGATTGTAGAAATTATGTTCGTACATTGCGTGTTTATAGCTGCGGTGGGCAACACATGCATGGATAGTAACTGTTCGCGCGTGCTGGCGAATCTGCTCCTAGTATACATAGACGGAATTTTCCGACTACGTATACTAGGGGCAGGTATAGATTTGTGGAGTTGGGCAAGATGCAAGAAACTAGTAATTTTTGGAAGCAGTACTATTATTAATTATATATATATTATTAGTACCTTCGGTGAGTGCCACGAGCGGCTTTCGTGAATTGTGAAATGCCAAACCTAGTTCGCTAGTATTGCTTCATGTAAATAGTTCCAGTTTGAAACAAGTTGTCGTCCATTATGGAACTATTGTGTAGAAGTACGCATATTATGCGATACAAAAAACGACAGCTAAAGTAGCGGCGTGTGTAAAGGTATTGTTACAGGTATTACGGTTTTCCCCTTCTCTTATGCCATGTAACAAAAAAATCAGATCGAGGCGAAATAAACATGACAGGGAAACATTCGCTTCGTGACTTTTGACCTCTCATTTTGAAAATCGTCACTGTATTGAAATTGAAGGGAAAATTGCAGTTTCGAATATTGAAGATTTCTAGACGAGGTTACTATTCCGTATCGTATAGCCACGGCAATGGGTAGCTAGAGGATCACAAAGGTTTTCCTACCAGCGATAGGTGAAGGGTTTATAATAGCTCATGCAGATCCCGCTTCAATTTTACCAACATTCTCAAATATACGACATGGGGCCATTAACCTTCCCCAATGTGTTGTTTGTCGTCTGCCTTTCTTTTTACCTACATGAGGTTCGTATGCAAATCATGCATGCAAAATTAAACATGAGATTGTCCACATGTCTGCAATTCATTATATACATCGGATTGGATTATATATATATCAGATACATCATTCTACATTAATGGTGGTTTTTATAAAATCGACCATATGTACAAACCAATATTTGAGAAATAGCTTGTTGAAACTTTCATGCTATTTGCTTTTCTATTGAAAATTTTTCTAGGCACTTAATACTCCCGCGGTGTTTTTTGACGATCCGCAAGCTATTGCGGTACGTGAAGCATGTGATTACAGCATTAAAATTACAATTGAAATGGCCAAAGCAGGCACGACCCCTCGGCCCATCCGCATTTACGCTGACGGTATGTATTCTACAAATAGTATAATTGAAGTTTGGGATTTCATCACACACGCATTGTCAACACCGGATTGCGTTTTAGGAGTAGCCACATTGTTGATTAGTTTGTAAATGTTTAACCGTGAATTTGCATAAAACTGGTTTGTTGCCTTCTCCTTTGTTGAGCAAGTTTTCTTTTCGGTTCAACCGTGATAAAATGGTAACTGTTTTTCAAATCTACAGTAAATTCTTACTAGTTGGATATAAAAGCCAGTGGTATACCGATTGATCTTATTTTCTTTTCCGTCCAGGTGTTTACAGTTTTAAAAGGCTTTGAAAACTGTTAACAAATCGTTAGGTTTATTAGGTGTTTGTCCTTTTCTACAAAATAGGCCACACTGACTGGCGTGCAATAATCAAGCTTTGAGCAAACGTATTTCGTGCTGTGTCAAATTTTTCAGGCATTTATGACCTTTTCCATCAAGGCCATGCTAGGCAGTTAATGCAAGCTAAGTCTATGTTCCCCAACGTGTACTTAATCGTGGGCTGCTGCTCGGACCAACTTACCCATGCTAAAAAAGGAAAAACAGTACGTTTTACGTTTTCGGTTTTGTTTCAGCTTTTGTAGGGCTTTGTATCTGACAACGTCGGTGGAAAAGTCGCCATAACACCGCTATTAAAAACGTGATACGCATTTTGGGAAACTTCAATAAGTAATCACCAAGTTAGGATAGTGACTTCGATTTTACAGCTTGTCAAAGAAGCTGTCTACCATGCTAACTAAAGTGTGGCCTGCATAAGAATAGTATTATTAGTGGGTACCGACCCCGACAATCACACCAAGCTTATTACCTGTCTTGGAATTGCATCATAATTCAGTATGCCCCTTTTCTCATTTCCTTATTTTTAACTACTTAGGTGATGACTGACGAAGAGCGGTGTGAAGCTCTACGCCACTGTCGTTATGTGGATGAAGTCGTTCGGGACGCTCCGTGGGAGCTGGATGATGCTTTTCTTGAACGGCATAAGATCGACTTCGTCGCTCACGACGATATCCCGTACGGTACCGCTGACGCAGATGATGTATACCGGTTTATTAAAGAGCGCGGCATGTTCGTTGCTACCCAGAGGACAGAAGGTGTTTCAACGTCCGATCTCGTAGCACGAATCGTCCGAGACTACGATATGTACGTGAGGAGGAATTTGGACAGAGGATACTCGGCCAAAGAGATGAATGTCTCTTTTCTGAATGTAAGTTCCAAGGTCCTTAAAGCAACAGTCGTCTGCTGCCTTGCTGATTATTAGCTTCTTACTAGCAAAAAAAAAGCAAAGACTGAAAGGTCGAAAGAATACTGCAACAGACTAAGGTCCGAAGAGTAACTTTCAATGGCATTCACAAAGAAACTCACCGCACCCTTGAGAGATTAAAAAAGAGCCCTAATATAGATATGGAAGTACAGCATTAAAATACTGACCTTTCAGCGATAAAATAACAAGCCAGGGTTGCGTTTTGCCACGAATTTATCTCGTGAACAGAAACTAGCATTTCAAAAAGTAATCAGTTGTTGAAACAAAAAGCGCAAGAACCCCTAGAATGAATTTCCATCTTGCAACGAAATACAGGATGAACAGACGACTTGACGTGTACTATTTTAGAGGAACATCACACACTATTTTAGTAGTCACTTTAAAATAGGTAGGTTAGACTGACGTGTCTCGTGATTATTTTTCTAAGTCGTTGAAATCAGCGTAATGTAAAGCTGAGCGCACACACTTATCTCTAAAACCGCTGGTAAGTTCTAGCCCAACACATCTATTCTTGACTTGGGTCTCCTTACCACCCAATTTGCGCTACGAAAAAATATTGCAAAAAATGTTGAGATAACATTTGATTACTAAGATTAACCCTCTGGTCATGGCGGTCGGTGGCTGTTGCTAACACTGATTTATTGTTAGTGTTATGCGCTATATGCCACATAAAACTCGTGTGATTTTTGTTTGATAGCAGTGTCTTCAAACGATTGCCGAGTTTGTAGGTTTACGTATTGAATATATTTATTATCAATCAGTAATAATCAGAATGCATTCTCAGTTGAAGCTTTCTTAGAATCCCAACAAAAATCAAGGTCTCTCTTGGTCTCAGTGATCTTGCTATTGTTTTTTTAAAAAAATTGAAACTTATACAAGGCCTTCTGAAACCGTTTGAACAATAAATTGTCTGACATGGTCTAACTTGCTACAAGTCGGTGAGAACTAGCCCTTGAAAGAAAATGCTCGACGACTAACCACACTTTACGCGCTGTCCGCCCCAGGATGTAAGAAGGATAAGGCCATGACTGATTTAACGAGACATACAAACACACAAAACTGAGTTTGGTGCTGTATTAACAAAAACATACAGACTAGTACCTACAGACGATGTTAAATAATCTTGACTAAGCTCGTAAAAGGTCTACTGGTCTCTTAAATATTATCTCTACTCGACTCTCATAGAGGATGACCGTTGTAATGTAATAAAAATTGTCAATGTTTTGTTTTACCTCATGCGCTTAAACATGTTTTAAAATGTTCATAAAATTCAATGGTGATCTTGGCCCTCCTGATTAGTTGTTCACGTCCGGTGGATCTTGCTCACACTTGTATACGTTTGAATGGAATTTATCTTTCACTATCAAAGCTTTGCTATATTGTACCACAATTATGACACCTCTATGACTATTGGCTAGATGCAATGTACTTGCTTTGTTTCCTAGCTGACCTTAATACACTGCACTCCTTAGCGATACTTTGTCTCGTCGTCTCCATTGCTTCATATTGGTAATTCCTATAAGCAAACAGAACACTTCCTGCATTTAGGTAAGGCATGCACACGTCAGAATTTTTATCTAGTGCTATGTCGTCCCTTCTCTGTCCCAGATTCTTTCTGCTCTGGCTTTTGTTAGTCTACTACAATCAGTGCAATCACCAGCATGCAAAACCTTACGATACCCTGCTTGGCTCCGTAGGTCTACCGCCTATCTGAGTGAACCTTAGAACAACGACATCGCTTCTATAGTACAGGATATTTACAAAATTGTTGTTGGTTTGTTATAGGAGAAGAAGTTTCAGCTCCAAAACAAGATGGATGCGCTTAAAAAAAAGGGCAACGATCTTGTAGAAAACCTTGGAGAGAAAAAACACGAACTCATCACCAAGTGGGAAGAGAAATCCCGTGAGTTCATCCATAGTTTCTTGGAACTCTTCGGAAGAGACGGAACACTGGTGAGTGAATGTGAAATGTTTGTATATAGTCAAAGAAACAAGCCAATTGTTTTCGTGTTTTCATCAGGCGTAACAAAGGAAGTGTCGGGTTATCATCCATTATAGGGGTGAATGTTATCCAATATGCCGGGACTTAAATAAATTGAATCAATAAACAACACTTAGGCAGCACGATCAGTAGCCGAAATATCGTACCAATCCGGGGTACATTATTGCTCTAACATTAAAAGCTATTTCTGATAAAAGACTTACAAATTTGATTAACAACATAATGCCTATATTTCGGCATGCGTGTCAGCATGGGCTTGTTGTAAGTGAAACAGATTTGGTAGCTGCGATGGTTTGAAGCAAAAGTAAACACGAAATTGGCTTATGTGGTATGACTTTATTCATGAATAAAAGGTCTGTATACATGTTACCAGCATACAGGTTACTAACTTGAGCCAATCAAGGTCAATTTACGTCGAGTCTTGGAGTGGAATAATAGAATTTTCTCTAATAGTAATATTGAAAAGGTCCATTATCTTTCTATACGAACAAGACTTTTATGCGTTTTAATTAACAATGCATTACACCCGGAACATCCCCATATATAATTACTTTCTCTTCGAACAAGTTACCCTGAAAAATCGCCGTAGTTTCTATCCATGCGAGGGCTATAGATTTTGGTCTGTGCTGTATAATAAGGCTTGTGTATAGGTGTGCATTGTCTCTACTTCCAATACCTGTACATGACATAATTTGTTGTTCTTATCTCGTCCACCTGGCATGAAGCATATACTGCTACTCCCTTGTCGTACCCTGTCATTGTTCCACATGGCATTGTTTCTATCTTTTTATCGCTTTCGGATACGTCGGTTTTGCGGTTGAGTACGTTTTTGTTGTTGTTATTGTTGTTGTTGCTGCTGCTGCTGCTGCTGTTGTTGTTATCATCGTTGACGGTGTCTTGTGTGGCCGTCTGTATATATCTTTATCATATCTATATATATATAGTGTGCGTGTCTATCTGTCTCGTGTTTTCTGTATTTGTCTGCTGTGCGTTAGCTGGCCGTCGGATGGACCGGCAGCTCGGCTCCTTCGCGTTCTGCTTCGCCGCCGGGTGACACGGGAAGCGAGAGCGCATCGGTACTGGCCACACCCGTTGACGAGCGCGCTGGTCAACTCCCGCACGTCTCTCGGATCGCATTCACCTCCGACCCAATCTTGAGCGAACAAACCGATCGATATGGGGCGGCTGGGTCCGCGCGAAGTCCGGATCGAAGCGAGCAACCCAAGGAAGAACAGCAGGAACAACACTGTAACGTTAAAAGTGACCGTAATCACGAAGCTGGTAGTCCAGCGATGCTGGCGATGACAACACTGCCGAAAGATAGCTTTAATGTCCAGGGAGCTCTGGGTGAAAGGGCTGTCGGTGAAAAGGTGGAAAACTTCCATACACCGCCGGGATCCCGCGGAAAATTATCGCCGAAAAAAGATAAGCCGGCCAATGGACACGGCGAATATGAGACCGATGCCGAGAAGATAACGTCAGCGGACGATGACGGCGATGATGATGATGATGTCGATTTAAATACAATCTCGAAATATGTGACCCTATAAAACCCAAGGAGGCACCAGCGACGCGAATGCTAACGTTACCTACTGATTATTGCTACTAGACGTTTGGGTGTTATCCTTTGCGAATGCGAACTTCTTTCAATTTTGGTCTGCGACGAATCCTGATGCAGTCCTGTATGCAACGCACGCTTAAATGACTGCTATCTTAAAAAGCACTAATGTCCTTCGCCCGCCTCAAGCTTACGAACTCCGCAACGACAGCAACAAAAGACCTCAACAACAATAACAACGCCAGCAGCACAAATCACGTATGGTGCAGTGCAACACACGTAGATATTCGTTCACTGCGGCACCGCATTCATTTAGGGATTAAACAGACCGTTTGTTACGTTGAGCTAGGAGAAGTCAATTAGAATTGCTAGTAGCTCCGTAGCTATAGTGCCCTTTCTTGTGAGTAAACAATGAATCTTTCGACTTGTAGTATATTCATTAACTGATAGCGAATCACAGCGGAGGCAGGCGCTAGGACCACGTGGACCTTGTAGGTTTAAACCATGGGCCCTCTTTATTATTGCGATCGAGGAAATGAGGCTATTAAGCGGGCCGGATATCACATCTTAGTCGTAGTCGAAACTTTGTCAAGGGATCTGAACGTGAAACAATAAAGGTACATGGTAGACTATTGGACTTGGACAGTTAATCCGACCAGTTGGAATACTTGGCTGAGCACATACAACGTTGCTTGAGCCGTTAAATATGTTACATATTTCTGTTCGAACGATGCGCATAAAATGAGCGTTTAAGTCAACCACTGTACTACGATCGGCTTTTTACTAAAGAATATTGAATGCATTTTCACTATGTATCAATTTACTGACCAGAAGAGAAGTATCGGCATAATCTTCTCTGGCTAACAATAACTCACCCGCTTTATAAACAAACCTTTCAGAATCTACTCTGGAACGAGGGCAAAGGCAGAATCCGAAATGTGCTTTCTCCCTCGAGTACTCCACCCGATTCGCCGAGACGAGAAAGGTCACTGTCGGATGAGGAAAGCCTAGACGATGAACACCGCAATACAAGTGCTCGAAGCACTCTACAGTTTGACGAAAACAACGACGGCGGCGGCGGCGGCGGCGGCGGCGGCGGTGATGATAATGATCGTGCAGGTTCACCACCGACCAAGAAAGGTCGCAATATCAATAGTAACCAAGCAGCGGCTACAAATGTTGAAAGTGACGAGATAACAAGCGATAATATAAGCGTAAATTCAGTGGGCACCCGCAGGCGGAGCCGGAGATGAATGAACGTAGACAAAATACTAGGTTGGGGCCAGCAGGGATACGGGCTCGCAGCAGTGGTGGTAGCAGTATAATCCCCCTATAAGTTTGTATATTGGAGCGGGTTTGTCACGGACAAAATACAGAAGTTGGCACGTCGCTTACACTACGCCTCTCGAATGGAGCCGGTCGAGGCTATACTTTAATATTATTAATCACCGATTAAGCTGACAACCACAAAATAAACTACGAAAAAAGTTTAATGGAGCTAGAACATGACGACAAAGCATCCAGCCGATTCGCAGGAGGGTTCCGAACACAGTGAACGTGTGGTAGATATGTAAAGGTGAAGTAAAATACGTGTGTGTATGTACGAACAGACGAGTTGAATTTTCGTTATCATTGTTATTATTGTTGATAGTTTGATCCTTTGCAAGCTCTCTAACAACCCGTTTACCTTTCCAGTCCGCCCAGATCCGTACTGACGTAACGAATGTACTGATATCCGGGCTGTCCAGTAAATTACGTGTGGTAGTAGGCTAGAAGGGAATGGAAGCCTGTGTGTTTCTTAACTGACAGTAACAACTACACAATAACGTTATCCTTCATAAGTGATGTGCTCTTAAACTCTACTACGATTACTGCGTTATCATTATTATTATTAGCGTAATGGCAGGTATTATTCTTGATATTGACGGCAGTTTTTATCATGTCACTATTAGAAATACGATTTTGCCTATTGAAGTTATTGACCTCAATGCGTTTACACCTGATCGCAACAGTCAATAGGAAAACGCAAGTGCAACAGGCCGTGCAATAGGCCCTACCAAAACGTTTAAGCATCGTATACGTAGGCTAATAGTCACTTGAAGGTTTTCAGATATAAGGGTGAAGTGGCTGTTTTATTCTGACGTCGATGATGGGCGCAAGGGTGCAGTCGTCATCAGACGATTGTTGAAAAAATACGTCGTTCGTCAATAGCTGGCGATCTTAGCAGACGCCAGCAGCAGAACACAACCAGCCTATTAATAAACTGGCGGATTGTTGAGTATTTGTAATAGAAACCGTAAAGTAAAAGGAAACCAGTGAAGAATGATTCGCTGAAGTGGTATTTAGGCAGACTCAAGCTTTTGTTATTGCATGCTATGATTGGCATAGGCGTTGCAGAATATCCGTCTGCGGCATGCGTGTACCATTTTAACGCGAAAAAGCCAAAAAGTATATTCTTCTGAAAAACACTATTTCATGGCTAAATTAAGGAGAGGAGGCTGAAAAGTGCCTTGTTATTATAGAAAGGACATCAATGTTAAGGAAACAGTTCTCACGATCCCGGGCAAACTAACAGGTTGGAAATTGTTGACTTTGTTTCTTGGTGGAACTAAATATGTCTACATCTAAAGCACGCCGCTAACCGCGGTATATATATATAATCGTGCCCGCTTTAAGTTTGTCACCGAGGTTCCCTTTACGGAAACTACGATTGTTTCTTTTCTATTTTTGCTATTTAGGTAGTACAATTTCAAAGAATAGCGGCATAGGCATTATTACGGTAATTGTAGTAGTCTGCCACACAAGTTGTGTCCTTATTTTAGGTTTATTATGCCGAAATGTCTGATTTCTAGTTTTAACCAATCTGTTTTTCTCTAGCAAATAAACAGCGACGATTGAATTAAGACTAGATAATAACACACAAACATGTTTATCTGACAAGATATCTTGAAGAAAAAAATTAATGGATATATAGCTGACTGTCTGCTGGCAGCAGTGATGAGCGGTTAGGGAAGGTTGAGCCTTAAACATCTGTGTGAATAAGGAGAACGAAGAAGAAATATCTATTCCGACAAATGGGGTATAATATGCGCGTCAATATTGTAATTTTAGCGTGTGGTTGTATCCAGGTGACAAAATTGTGTGCTCAGTCCTCACAAATCCCATTTAAACTATAGCTAAATTATATATCTAATTGACGAAAAACGAAAAGAAATGACTAAAAATAATATCTAGAAGCATAGTATTACCTGCGCTGGAGTTTACTGCTTTGGAAAGGGTTACACACAACGAGAATTTTAATCCGTTAGTGACCACAACACAAAAGTGGTTAAATAAATATGGTAAAAACTCAACTCGGATTTATTAAGCATCGTATCTTTGATTGTATGACACAAGTTTCCCGAGAGAATACTATAATAAACGGGTGTATGTTTTCCTGAAATTATATACATATATATGCTAGTATTCCCAACATCTGTCGATAATTTGTATGAGTCATTCGAACCATACCCAATACGAGACTATACAATACAAGGTTTTGAATGGAGTACTTTTAGCCGATTTTTTTTTGTAAGTACGTTATTCTGTGTAGTTCTTTAAAAACGAAGGTGTTTCTACTGCTACTACTACTACTACTACTACTTTGCTTACTCAATCGGTTTCAGACCAGCTCAGTTTTGGCCTAGTTATAGGGGATTACAGCGCGGGTACAACGGGTAGCGTTGGATAGCGCAGTGACGACATAGCAGCTATGAGGGCACGAGGGTATGAGACATTTGCGTCCGAAGCTTTAAATAATTAGAACGATAGCTAGACATCTGAAGCAGCGTAATTACGTAAATGAAGCAACGCAGCGAGATTAATAAAGAAATATGTTGGGTTGCCAAAATTCGGCAATGGAGTAATGCATTGAAGTTATGGAATGACCCGGACAATGCAAGAAGTTCACTAAACCAGGTTGGCGAAAGAACCACAATGGAACAGCAACAAGAATAGCTGTATAGGAGAACCCTTAGAATTGTGCTGACTACCTTTCGGGATGTATTAGCTTATGACATAATTGACTTCTAAATCTGTGTTCAATGTAGTCTTTTTTTACCTCATGGTTTTTTTTTTATTTACTTTGGTGTACCATTCACTTTCTAAGTACTGCCTCTTCCCTGTTAATTCGTTGAAAATTGTTTATGCAGTAACGATAATTTCATGTCGAATAAATATATCTTCAATTATATTCCATATTTTCCATACTTTGCAGCGATCAAAGAGCTGTCAAAACAGATCTAAGATGATGATGGTATTTCATTTTATAGGCTATTGGAATGTTTAAGAATGAAAAACTGTTAAATCCTTCTATTAAAAATACTTAAAAATAGAACAACTCGAGTACGTAATTATTCAATGCTCAAACGGATTAAGATGATATGTATGTATCATGCTTCATAGATGGTAACTATAGCACATGTACATTTGATGGAAGCAACACGCCAATATCTGCGAGTCGCTAGGAGCCATCTTATTTCTAATCTACCAAAAAGATCCTGGCATTACCTAGAAGACACTATAAGTTTACTATTGCGCACACCTCATGTAAAGACCTACGACAACGGTCTCGATGAAACATCTATACGTAGATAAAGCCGTAGAGAGGCAACTGATAATACCATTTTGCATGGTATTATCAGCAGAATGGAGCTAGTGCTGATGATGAATTTCGATGCCGCTGCCGGCTAGACACGGCACAGCTTCAGCCTTCGGCAAAATTCTGTTCAAAGCAATTGGAAGGTATTAGCGCCAACGAGCATAGTAACAGATAAAAATACTTTCTTTCTCCATTTTGCTAGCATGAAAAACTGGTAAAGTAACCTCAATCTAATATAATAATAATATGCTAATTTCAGTAGTTTGAGTCGTCGGTGATGTGAAGGGGTCCTTAGCCTCATGGTGCAGATGTACTCTACCCCACAACTGATGCAAGGAGAAACAAACATGAACGCGTGTTTGTATTGGAAAGACGTTGGGCGTCATGTGTTGATTACAATAATGGCCAGCTAATCCGCATTGTTGCCTCGTGTGCATGTACATACATGCACGCGTAACACTTGTCGTTCACAAGCTGGTGAACGAATCAGCAGAGTACACTGATTTGAGCTTTGGCAACTTTCGCCGATTGTGAGCGTAGTTGAACACGATTTAGGCAGACAAGATAGATTTATTTTCTTCCTTTATATACGTATTGTTAAATTGCTCTATTTTGGAAGCTCAATTTTTGTTCATACGTGAGGTACATACTGCAGCAGATATCGCGTATATTATTATTTCGTTATATAGTCAGCTGTACGGATCTAGCATTGCTTCGACAAATGTACAGTGAACGACCGGCTAGCACTGTTGTGTCCGAAAACTTTTTCGAAATAAAATATCTCTGCCAAAAGTCCAATGTACATAGCATAGCATACGGCAGGTACTATTTGTTTGAATAATAATTACGAAAAAATTCTGGATTGTCTTTGCAAAAGATCAGTTAGTAATAAAAGTCAGATAATTCTCCTGTATAATAATATACGACTAGTAATATACCACATACGACCGCTCGGTAAATTACGGCTACTAGATAAGCGAATAATCTTGGGGCAGGAAAGAGAAGGATTAATGCATCGCTAACCACTGCTTTGTGCAGAAGCCCTAGCAAACCTTCAGGACGCGTGGCGTCTACTTTATGCAATGGATTTTGGAGCAGACTCTGCGATTGAAAAAGCACCAATAGTTCCGTTGTCTTACGGGTAATGTGTAGGAGCGAAAATAGCCATGCAAATCATTGTATACTTACAAAACCTCACAGCCAAATAAGCTTCCTTCGGAGTCTAACATTCATTATACCCCAGGTGAAAAATACCCCAGGGTCAAAAAATTTTGTGTGTGTCAAGTGCACTCGACTGTCCAGAGCTCCCGAAAGTGGTGGATACGTATTGAGGTTTGATTCCCGTATTTTACTGTAGGCATAATCTATCCGCTTCATTTATGTTTACACCTGATACATCGTCATATATCACGAACATATCGTCATCAATACAATTTGATGAAATTACATATTAAGATCAAGTACTAGATAAAATGTAATGTTTGCACTAGTATTAAGCAATATGTCTAAAAGCGCGAAGTACTATATAGCCGAAAATAATATTATCTAGCAGGAGTGTGAGTACTTCCCGACGGGATACAGTGATTTTTTCATTCCTATTCATTTCTGCAAGTTTTTGTAATCAAGCCTTTAAGATTGCACCTTGCTCATATACGGTAGCGGCAATGATCTCTCGTAAACTGGTCAAGTAGTTCAGGAACTTCGCGGGAAGTGTCCGTCTCTACCGTGAAGCTAATAAGATGCTGTGCCAACAAGGCTACTTGCTGACTTATGTGCGTCACATGATTTTAGCGACAATCTTCTAGAGGCAGTTTATCAAAATTTGCATATTAAAAATGTGGATTTTATCATAATCCTGTGTGCTATAGGCCATCTAACGGTCGGCGTAACAGTTTCTCCTTGACAAGTTGATGTTTAGTTCCATACGGCAACGGTTTTGTTACGTGAGCTCGCAAGCACATCAGACTTGTACAGTCCTCTCTGCTCATATCTTGTAAATGTAAATAAATATTAATATTTGTTTCATACAAGAGTTACCAGCTGTGATACGTTTTTAAGCTACAAATGCCGACTTGGTATTTATCGTACAAGCATGACAAATAGGCAAATACTCATTCTATCACTGCAATGTGATTCGAGCAAGACCAACGGTGAATTTTTGTTCCTTTATTATAATCTCCACTTAATCAGACTTGTAGTTTAACAGCAACCCTGGTTTCTCAGCCAGAGGTTTAGCCATTCGCTATATATGAAAAGTCTAAACGACAACTATGGGCGAATAGCAAGGCTCTGGAAAAGCGAGGCGTCAAAACAGCCAACGAGTTCAAGGTGCGAGAAGAGGCGCAAAAAATAAAACGATTCTACTACGATATTACTAGGATGATCCAATCTGTATTTGATATTGTTTTGAGATGGCTGTTAGTGTCCATATAGGAAGCCTTGATGTATTGACTTTTTAAGCTAATACGATGAGTTTTCAAGCCCCTTAAAGCCAAATGCAATTAGGACCTTTTAGTTTTGCTCGTAAAATATTGCTGGGATTTTTTGGAAAGCGTTTAAAAACTCAAAATAATGTAAATCCATTTCGAGCAAGAAAGGACTTCTTGTTGTCCTGGTGCTAATAGCTGATTACCGCTTAAATTCTCAAAAGGATGCATTGCTAGAGGAAAAAAACTGGGTTTCGTCTGATATCACGAGCAGCAGATGAACACATGCCATAAGACAATATAAAATGCGTTTAAATTGGGAAGTATGCCGGCATATTTCCCAGTCTAAATACACCATCCTAAATATATGTATGTATATTGGTATAGTCCGTGCGGAATGAACGGTTGAATCACCATTTACGAGCATACTGGACAATTAGTCGACGAAATTACACTGAATCTAGCTGAGCCGTAAGACAATTGGATACCTTGAAAATATGTTTTTACATCAAACATATGTTCTATATCTGTATTTGTTTCTATTGGAGTGTTTTTCAGCTGCTACTACAAAAGACATAAATCAAGTTTGCTTCGTTTGTCCCTTGAGATGCTTCATCATACGTTACAACATATAATTCGAGCTTGATCTAGCGCACATCTGAAGGGTACCTCGAGTCACAACTTAAAAATCTATAGATTTGAAACGGTGTGGTCAACATAAAACCTTTTACATTGTTGCGCTGTTATTTAGAATGAGGTATCTTTAACTCCGCATTGTCAATTGGATCTGGTAGCTTTTAGTTTACGGTCTCAGATAAATATGACAACTGAGTTCTGTTCCTTCAGCATATGTTTTTTCAATATGCTCGGTTATTTCTTGCGCTTGTATGCACTCTTTTTTTGTTTAATGCGCCCTTGTAATAAACGTTTAGCACAGCATGGGAATATTAGGGTTAATCAAAGTATTTTAAATTCTCTCTCTCTCTCTCTCTCTCTAATCGTGTTTTCGATGCTGTTTGTATCCGTTAGCACATTCTGATCGATTCCAAACGCTCACAAAGTACAACTTTTAGCACTACTTACCAAGTCATGTAATACCGATTCGCAAGAACTTAGAATTTATTAAATTGACACTTTTCATTGAAAATTTGTAGATACATCTCGCCATGTATTATTGAGTTCATGTGAGCTTTATTTAATTACGACGTTGACGAGGCACGAAAATCAAGATTGTTGTCTAGCACCAGAAAGTGCCCTATTTATCTTCTTGTGTAAAAAGTCTACCTTTGAGGACTTGTTTTTCATTAGGCAAACTTAACAACGGTATGCCACACTGACCAGACAATAAAGAATTCGAAAACATGACTGCTACACATGTGGTATTCTAATGCGTATTACAATACAACACGCCAGTGGTCGTCTGCTAGTTTGTTGCGATGTTGTTGTTGTCAACAATTTGCTATCATTAAGTGTCTGTGGCATAATCCCGATAAAGATCACCGATCAAAATACTAAGAGACGCAAAAACTGAGTCTAAATCCGAATAGCAAACGGCCTTTTATTCCGAAAAATCGTAACTTCAACATGAAACGGACATGGTGTCGATCTGTGCATGAATACGCGAGTTCAACTGTTTCGTAACAGCATTTATACTCGATGAGCTTTCGAATAGGGAATGCTGTGGCGTAAATGAAGCTGCTGCTGCTGCTGCTGCTGCCACTATCAAGTAATATTGTTCATGTAATACTTTGTCATAGCCTCTTTTTCTGTAACAGCCACAGCCAACCTATAGTCGGACCAATCAGTGCGGACTTTTCCACTGCGCCTACATATCTGCAGTTCTATCTGCATATAGAAGGTATCAAACATAATATCTTTCGCAAACGTCAATAGTACGATAATAGGTGATAGCCTGCAAGGTCGGTATTTATTTTCCGACAATCTAGGAACGCCAGAAGCGTCAAAGCCCTTTCGGCTTGTCTAAAATGAATAATAAAGAAGTAAGTTAGCTGGCCTTTCGGGAAAAAAGCATGAAGAAAAAAGAGCATCTACAAGTGGGAGAAACATCCAGATCTTAAATACAGCTTCAGGGTCGTTTTGTAAATTTCCAAAATACTTTTACGGAATGAAACCGGTTCAACAATCGTTTGCGCCTAAACTGTTGACTACTACCGTCGCCATCATGTTGAATTGTACTCGCAGACGCTAGTGTTTACCATTGCCGGAGGAACTAATCAGCTGTAAATCTTTCCGCCGCTTGACACCCAGCGGACTGTTTCCAAACGATGGCAAAACGCGGTAAAGTGACCCAGGTCTCGAAACCTCAGTAGCTCAGACCCGGGCCAGCGGGTTAGTCAACATTGTTACCGTCTTTGATGTTTCTGTTCAACCCCTACATAAACAGATGCTAATGATTTGTTCGTAACGTAAACGTAATATTGTCATGCACATGCTGTATGCACAAGTGATCTTACAACACCTTTCGAACTCTTTCATGTACTTAGTCAATTAAATGTGCATATCATTATCATCAATGGTGTCCTACCACCTATTTATCTCGTTGACGTAAAATTGTGGGATAAAAGAGTATATGAAAATAGTTTCGATGATAAGTTGCGACTCAAATAATTTTCTTCTTAGGAAATCGTTAAGATTCTGTAAGAAACAATGTCTGGTGGGTATGGCGGACAGAAGGCCGCTAATTTTTGAATATTTGCAGTGTGAGATCGAACGTTGTTGTGTATAATAGAGTGGCCTACGATGTGTACTAATATTGGATGGTAAATGCGGGTCTTCTTCTCATCATTTCCGCCCAATTCTGACAGTACGATCCAGCCATAAGCGATAAACCGGCACACGAAACTATACTGTATTCTAAAGCACTGGACAAGTTCCACAAAGTTTTGAAGTTGCACGTTTGAGGCCCTCCGGTTTACTTGTATTTACCCACTGATGTGACTGTTAACGGTTGTCATAGAGAATCCATTTTTGATCACAAAATCAGTTAGCTCGGTGCAAGGATAGGTCACGGTTGTTATGAGGAGGCCAAGAAAAGCAAGTGTCTCCACGTCTGTTTTTCATCCTCGCATGAATCATGCGGCAGAAATTTTATTGCTTTGTATTGTTACATGCATCAGACCTGAACGCTAACAGCTGTGCACTTTCAGATGGATCTGCTTCTGTCATAGTGTTGAACACTCTATTATTAACTTTAAAAGAGGGTATTTCGCAAGATTCACTTTCGAGCTCGAGATTTCCTCCCGGGAAGCTTTTGAGTGAACGTTGTTTCTAGCAGTATAATATTCACCAAATACAAAATTTTGATGCGAAGAACCATTTCCGCCGCTGTGCTTCCAAGATGGAACTCATATTCATACATCAGTTGACCCGTTTGCCTTTCCATGGCCCCCTATAACTCCTCTTGCTGAAAGCTCGAGCGATAACGTGTGACTAAACAGCCTCAGATTTTAACGAGTACAGGTGAATTTTTTTTGTTTAAATTTCTTTTAAAGTGAAGTTGATGTACTTTTTAAAGGTAGCTTAAAACATTTATATTAAAAATATGGTGAACTTTGACGTTTGGACGCAGGAGTCTGACAAACTAATACGGAAGTCTCAAGGTAGCCCGTTTTGCGAATATTTAGAGAAGTGTTGAATTCGTAAATGCTACGGTTATGGCTAATGTGGACGCCCTAGCCAACGCGTCCGAGAGGAGAAAAAACGACAATGACTTGAAGGTCGACAAAAACCAGACGACTAGCAATGACATTGCTGCTACGTACATAAACCCCTGCACCCCTAACGACAAAGTGGGTCGAGAGCATAATGGCGAAGCAAAAAAAATTCGAAGAAGTATCAGCTTTTCTGACACTCCGACAAAGATAAGCCCGAAGAAACATCACGACGGAACCGTCACTGAAAATACAGCACGACAAATTGATTTCGCTGATTCTGGGCAGGATGTTTCGAATGAAAGCAACTCCACCGAAACAGTAGGTAGAACACTGAGATTTCTCCGTTCTTAGAACAGTAATTAAAACGATAATATAGTTTGTCTTTTGCGGTGGCAATACGCCTAGAAATTTCAATCCTTTCTAGCTTTGCTTACAATGTATACTAATTTGTACTGGCAGACTTCGTAGGTCGCCTCGGAACCAGTGGACTTTGTTTTTGCCAATACAGATACCCACTATGTATTTCGCATAAAGCCTCATGTAACAACTTTCGTCTATCTGTGTTAAACGAGCTGTAAGACTCTGTTGTTATGTCTTCACTTGAATTGTCTTGCTAAAAGGTTCGTCCCATTTTAGTGGCTTGCGCGAGCGTCATATAATGCTATACTACTTAATTTTCAAACAGTTACGACATCTTTCAAGGGACGAGGATTCTACGCGACACGGAACTTGTTGTTTTTTGGCTCGGCGGCAAACGATTGCCGATCTGTACCCAGCAATTAAGGTTTCTTCTCCGAATGGAACTGAACGACGTACAAGCAGCGAGTCCAGCTTGGTAAGATATTGTTTATACGATTTCTATGTTGAGGGATTCATTGAGCGGGCTGCCTAGGTGAAACGCAGGCGTTCACATACACACATGGGTAAGACCGAGTTATCCATAATAGCTAGCAGCGTATTAATAGATCGAGCAAATGAAATCTAAAAGTAACCACTCATCAGTTTTAGTTAGATACATTCACTGAACAGTTCCATAGTCCGGTTCAGTTCTGTAACTGTGTTAACATATATACAGCATTTAAACACTGCAGTGGATGTGCACAGCTTCTATTGGCGCAGTGTATTGAGTACAGGGGGTATATTCGGACCTGTGATATTTAGGGAAAGTAGCGTTATTCCGTCACATGGTCTCCGCGTACAGATGTTGCTGATCTTCATTGAAGGAAATACGACTTCTGGATATTTTCGAACAGGAGTCGCTTTCGTACGAAAAGCGAAACATCCGGGAGCAGTTTTCGTGTAAATACATACCAAAAGACACTGGTCTTTTAACACCAACGGCGTCGACTGAAACTCTCGTGGGACGACTATGCGAGGCAAGCTGTGTCACACCCACCTTAACACCCCGCTCAACGCAAAAAACGTCGTCATCGGTGAACGGGTCCAACCGAAAAAGACAAATCAGCATAATCCCAGTAAGTTGCATTTTCCTTCCCAAACGATCGCCGACGTGTTTACGTAAGTTCTCAGAGATGTCGCTCTATAGCAGTGGCATCAATTACGAATACGGTAGTGGAAGTTTTACGACGAATGTCAGTTCGAAGTCAATGCTGGTCTGTAGCAGTGTTTTAAATCCGTCGTATGGATTTTAATTTGTCAGCACTCAATTTTGGTTTAGACTACCTCGGAGCACCTGGGGTGTCACAAGGAGATCCCTCTTTCGCGGGCAAACTTAATCTACCCGTAAGTGTTTTGTTAACTTTTTTTTGGAACTTAAGGCACATTAAAAACTCGGCGCATCCATCTAAATTTAGATGGATGCGTCGAGTAGTATCATTAACCATAAGTTACGAGAACCGTAGTGCTACATATGAAATAATAATGTATTAGGCAGTAACAAGGTGTTTTTCTTTTAAATACAGATGGTACTAATGTTACCTGTGTGGAACGTGAGTAATTTAGTAATAATGAAACTGTCTACTAATGCGCCCATAAATCCTAAGGGTTAAATGGCTAAAAGTCAAAACTATCTATATTGTTTGCTCTTCTCTTAGACACCCGTATAGGCACACTAGAATACGTCGTATCACGGACGAAAACTAGTCGCTGTTAACAAGGTCCATTCAAATGTAATAGTCGGTGAGACGCTTCTTATGAGATTTACTGGTAGTCTACTTTTTGCAGTGTGTATTGTTCTCCTGAAAAACTGATCTTAGTAAATTTTCGAATGAATTTGGCACCTGGTCACGCGATTGTTGCCCTGTTTCTTTGTTCTAGAGAATAATCGCTACGTCGCCCGCGGTCCCGGTCGCAAAAGGGCCTGAATTAGTTGTCATTTTTCGCAAAATGGGCACAGACCTTCCAAAACGATTAGCCAAGAACGAAAGGGCTCTTAGTGCTAGGAAAAATTCCCTTGGCGAATTCGGTGTTTTGAAGCCTACCGTGCAAGAAAGCTTTGACGCAGGATTTATTCAAGCGTACAAGCTGATCGCGCAATGCATTGACCAAGCTTCGCTTATGCACCGCTCGATCGATGACGATCAACATGAGAAGCATCTGACGGCCAGTTCTATTAACGAAGTTCTCAAAAGTGACCACACGGTACGTTATAAGTTAAAAAGATTCGATTTTATATTAAACAGCCTGCTTTTTAAGTTTGATGCAAATGATCGCAATGTTGAAAATTGTTATCTTTGATTGCAAGTGACTCGACACTGATTTTACAGCTGGATAGAGCCTGAAAATGAAATTACGTGTTGGACAAACTCTAGTTGGAAGAGTTAGGACACGCTGTTTTGAATCCTACCGTTCACGTATACTGTAATGGATAATATATATCATGAAATAAAAAAAACGGCTCTATGGAAACACATTTTAAATGTTGGAGCTCTCAGGACATCTCAAAGCTTTGTAAAGAGCTCGATTATTGGGCGATTTACGATGCAGAAGGTTAAAATGATCGCACGCTACTATTGCGCAACTGAACAGTATATAACCTCGGGCATTCGACTAAAAACCTTTGCCCACAGTGCCCTGCCGCTCAACAACTCGCGCCACAAACAAGAGGAGTATCTCCTGTCTCTTCATGATGACGTTTTTTCATAGCATATAGTTGTACAAGCCCTTGCTTATATACGTACGGCACAATGCTCTGCATTCTAGTAATTTATATGCGGGTATTTTTGAATAATAAAAATGTGTCGGTGCTCGATGATCTGAAGGGAGAGTTTATTCAACAGATACTGGAAAACGTTTTGACCCCCCTAAAGGAAATACTTGATGATCCCGAAGCTGATGGAGTTGAGTTAGCCTTAGACACGGTGGAAGCTGCCATGAGTGAAGCTAGCAGGTAAGCATTTTCAATACAGATGTCCAGCCCGCTTTCCCTTTCTGTTTATTTCTATGTTTAGCTATGTCGTTAGTGTCGAACTTATGATGATGATGGTGATGACGAATGTGTGGTGCTGGTATGTTCGGTAATGTGTGCTCTGCTGTCGACTGTGCACGCCCAGGGGTACATACGTTGAAGCAAGAGACGAACCTAACGACCCACTTTTCGAACGACGTGCTCGACCAAGCCTTTGGGAACTTGAACGGCAGTTTCGACGTGGTGCCAAAGACGCTTATAACCAGATTATTGTAGAAGCATTTAACGATGAAGCAGAACTTGATCTGAAAGAATTGGTGGACAATATTTGCGAACTTGTCAGCATCTATCAGGTGAAAAATTACATGGCAGTGTTACTAACATTTTAATTCAAATCTGCATTGGCCACAAAGTAGAGCCCCGGTATCCTATACAGCTTTAAGTTAACTAGCCATTATCTGCGGATAGACACTGAACAGAATCCAGTTGGAGTAGGGAGTCTATCAGGGCCTATGAACCTTGTGAATAAGTAGACACATGCGCCAGACAGTTAAAAGTCAACTTCACTAGGACGGACCTAGTGAAGTTAACTAGGCTGCGCATGGCAAATGTCTACAAAACGAACTCTTGGAAACAAACCAGGTAGCATACAATGGCGTTACTATATGCATGCATATACGTTCACTGTCTTAGGGACGGAGGTAGTAGAAACAATAGTACGCTCATATTTTTATATGCGAAGTGTTTATACACTATTAATGCTCTATATAAATCCCAGATGAGACATCGTAGCTAATAGCATGCATACAATCGAACTACGCGTAGGCAATGTCTAACACGCGAGTTCTTCTTTTATAGATGGGAGTCAAAAGGCTGCTGGAGTCGAACGTAACCTGACAGATCAAACTTTGATCAATTAATAGCATTACTTAGAAATGGCGATCTTCGGCAAACGCGACAGCTTCAACGTTTTTCCTTTACGCACACTTCCTGTCTTTGTTTCGCAGAAGTTAGATCGGGTCAAATTGTGTTAATGATAAGACCAAGACAAGAGAAATGAACAAAGAGAGCATCTGCAATTATTGTATTATAAGATCGCAAGTGAGCACAAAACGGATACTAAGTAACTTACGTCACTAAGAGAACAATGATTAGTAATTTACACCCAAACAAATGCTCAGTAGAAAGTACAAAGCCGGCCGGGTATCGTCAAGCAGGACCTTCATGACACACGCAGTAGGTCGACAGAAAAATTCGATATTTACCGAATTAGATTGAATATACATTTGTTTCTGGGCATTAAATATCTTTATTTATCTTAGCTATATACTATGTCAAACATTTTCTAATATGAATCTTATTACTTTACCTAACAAACCAGCTCAATTATCCAATTAATCATCACGAATCTCAACAAGGATAGCTAAGTGCTAAGTAAACCTATGATTCTTTGCCTGTTTTTCGCGTGTCCTTGACCAAGGACAACTTTTCGTTGAACAGTTCCTGATTTTTGCTGTTACTGTTGATTATGATAATGATGTTTTTTTGTTGTTCTCGTCCTATTGATTTACATGGGTCCCGAGACCATTTAAAGAGTCGAGCATAATTCTACTAAATAACTTGGATGAAAAACAGAACAGGATATAGCTAAATGAAGCAAGATCTGCTTTTATATAGCAAATCGGAAAGAATATTTAAACTAATTACAAAAGATTTCAATTATACATGTTTATAAGACGACCTTTATTATCGATACAGATGGGTACAATTCCGCTTTTAATCAACAACCTACGTTTGTGTGAATCGTACATATAACACGCTTGGTTACTACCACACACTCAGTAAATAAATGCTTTTCTATTTCGAAATTGACCGTACACCATTGCAATAGACACGGTTTCAAGTGGCAATAGTTGGGCTTACGGACCCAAACTCTAAAATTTGATGAATCTCTCCTCAAACGAACAGGTCCCATTTGTTTTGTCTGACAAATCGTTCCAAGTCAGGCAAATAATGTCAGTTTCAATTTGTAGGGTTTAACTTTCTTTTGCGTGGGCTACGGTAAGTATCGCTTTATGCTATTTTGTCTAAAACAACGCCCCATTTTCGTGCAGCTTAGTTAATCGGTTTCCTTTTTTTATTGACGAAATAATTTGTTTTGGGGCTCCTAAGGTCAGCAAAAAATTACCGTTTTAGGCGGGTAACACAGCCATGATGCCTTGACGTGAAGCTATCTTTACTTTAAATTATTATAAAAATACAAAGTCCCTAATCAAAAAAACTCAAATAGGACACTATGTACCTAAAAGCTTGCTCGTCCTAAATAGATCTACTAGTATCGACTCTTTTTAGCGGTTTTCGAAAACAAAGGTATAGCAATGTATCGTATAGGGCCTTGATTGATAAGCAACAGTATTATGCCAGCAGAGCCACGTCTGAGCGCAAGAAAAAAACAATTTACGTTCAGCGTTGTCGAAGTGTTTAGAGTTATTATCCAAAACAAATGGCACAGAATTTCCTTATAGGCTTCTGTTGCGCTCAAGTTGGCGGCCGCTGACAGAGGTGAACGCTTGACGCTAACGTCGGGATAGCAATTCTCGTTCTTTTTTCCTAGTTTTGACAAAGGACTCAGGATAACTACTTCGCTTAGGAAACTTAACGCTGCCTTAAAAATCTATGTTTTCGATTCTTCAAAGTCAAATCAGCTTTCACATTCACAATAGCTAATACTTGCAGATTCAGTTTATATTTACTATTTTAAATCCGTAATAAGAAAAGAAGGAAGGCCATAGTTTTCCCTTTTGTTTCTCCTGTTGGCTGACAAGAGGTGTTCATAGGTATGATTGAACAGGAAACAAGTTATATTGGACATTCGTTACGCCATCATTGACAATAAACGTAGTAAGCGTATTTAGTTAGTTTATGCTTGATGAAATTCGTCAGCTGTGATTGTCTGATTTTACTGGCGTTGGACGGTGCCCATCTTAAACGACCGTCGCCATACTCCTATTCAAACTAAATATCAAAGAGGGCGCTTGTGCCACTCAGGATCCAAATGGTGTCCTAAGCGAATCCTTGACCGACGCAAAAATCTTTTATGCTGTAAAAAATTTGTCCCGACAATCTAATTAATGTGCATATGTTAGGTATGGAATAATACGATGATCTGAGTGCCATAGTATGCGCTGCAGATACACGTCCGATTATTAAATAAAGAAAATTTCTTAAGGTAATAATTAAGGAAGGCAATTTTCTTTCAAGGCCGAGTTCGGTCCCTTTTTGTCAAGCTACGATCCGTAAACATATTGCATTACCGTAACTAGACCGCCTCAGACAGTTACCTACCGCATATATAAGGCTCGACGAAGCGTCCGTGTTGAGTCCTAAGCCGATTTGTTTTCATCTAGAGTGTTCTTGCAACTGTCGTTTGACGTGATGACATCCGCTCACGTCCAACAGGGTCTGGCTAGCTTACACGTTTTTATTACTGTTGTTCTCCAGGTTTTGCGTACGAGAATATAGATCACAGACTTAGCCCTAAACTTGTATTAAATAACGCTGATAACATAGAAGTAATTGAAGCAAACGAAAGGCGTTAATTTCAACACTATTTATCAGCAAATAGACAGACGAGTGTGGTTGTCACACGGAAAAGTCCAAAGGACCTAATTTAAAAATTTAGCCCGAACTGTTACGGTGAATAATTGTCCATTCAAAGCTATTTGGAAGGACACAGATAATAAACCTATCCCTAAATAAGCTCTAAAAATCCTAGGTTTCTAAGAATGACAATACGCTACGCAATAGGTTTGAAAATATTTGCTTTTTTTATTCTTCCTCTTGCCCTTTATAAACGATACGATACGCGAGATACACGCAAATATCATTTACCATACATAATTATTATCTAGCACAGTACAAGGTTATTTCATGAAAAAAATTACCGCAACGTCCGTCCATGCGATATTTTGTTTGCTTATTTTACATAAATTATATGGGTAATAATCGGTGGACACGCTGTTCAGGTTGGGCATAGGTCAGGAATCAAACAAAAAAGATGTAATTATTTTTTCGTCACACCTGTTCGTTGTTGGTTAAATAAAATTCAAGTAATTTTCTCGATATTCAAGTGAGAAGACTAATATGTGATTGTGTCGTGGCTGCAGCTAGTTTCAACAAGCTGAAATTTTACATCCTTATAACTCGGCCAAGTGCACGTTAAATCGTGTACGCATCCCTAACAGCCTAGACCCAATTCGATAAAGTACCTTTTCTGTGTTGAAATAGGTGTTCATTACTGTGTTGTAAAATCAGTGCCGCCCGTGATCTGTATAGCATTGTGTTTGTTAGTTTTGATTCTCAAGCCGGAACCGCACAATTCTATACCATCATATCATTGATAGAAGAGCTTTTGCTAAATTTTAAGTTACTTGCTGTCTTGTGTTTAACTTAGCGGTCTCGAACTTACTAAGTAGGAGCCTATATACTGGAGACTAAGATAAGCTGTCGAGCACTTTGCCAAATTGCCTGTGATGATAGCGCTAGATAATCAATATTTCAGCGAACGTAATGTAATGGACAGCATAACAGCGTGACCGATCCGACACGTTGCGCGTGGAGCTACGAATGTTAGGTAGCTGGAATAAAGTCCCAAATAACAATCATTAATGAATTTTCTTCAGAATACGTATTCAGGCTTTCCATCCAAGAGAGACTGCCCGTTAGTCGATCTAGGTTGTTTTTGGTCCTTTCAGAGCTTTTCGCTTGCGTTTAATTTGCTGCTTATTTTTTATATAATAATATATAGTTTTTATTGCACAAGGCATGGACACTTCCATTCTGCCACAGACGAGTTTTCTTGCAGATCCTGATGTTAATTATCAGGTTGTCACTTGGTTCCAGCCTTTGTGAAAATATTTGTTGGGGTCCTGTTGTTCTTAGTGATTCGTTGTGGTCTGAACCTTCCGCAAAAGTTTCTTATGCTTCATTCGTCGGTTTTGAAACCACGTTTTCACCTGAAAAAAGAGCGAGGTCGTCTACATGATGTACCAATGCAAGCTCTGTATAATCCTCGTTGAGCATTCGATCCGATGGTGCGGATCTGCCCTGTATGTAATGTACTTTTTCTTTAATTAATACTTACCTTACTGGTGTCCTCGATAAATCTGCCCTAATATTCGAACTTACCCCACTTTCAAATGCGATCCATAGAATAAAATTGCATTCTAAAATCCTCTACTTGAAATTGTCCCTGCAAAGATCTGTTGTATTAAATAATTGCGTATAACTGACATTAAGAACCCTGTGTTAACTAGGCACACTTGGGAAGGTATCTACACATTCAAGTTCGAGCATCAGTTCACGCGGCACTCCGTAACGTTATCATTTTCGGTAACGTCGACTGAAGTGTTAGCAGCCGTCCACCGTACGGCTTGATATATTTTATGGCCAGTAATAATAGGGTTAAGCACGTGTAAACGATACGGTTTGATAGCTTTGCTAAACAAAAATATCTTTTTCACGTAAATCCGAAAAAATTCTACAGCATATTAATGTTCATGTAATCGCTTCGTTCATCTAATACGTTAAAATTACCTGGGTTTCTGACAAGTCAAGAGCCGCCGCAAGTTCCAACCTCTCAGGCGTTGATAGATATCGTTGCGAAGCGAATTTTGCCTCGAGTCCTTCGAGCTGCCGGTCCGTAAAGACTGTTCGCGCCTTACGGCCACGACAGCGCAGCGACGGCGAACGAAGGTCACGACCCGATGGATGTAGAAGAGCCCCACCCGCAGAAACGCTTTCACCACAGTAAGTGACACCGATTCCTGCGAAAGTACATTATAACCATTAGCATGTGTATTCATGAACACGAGCGAGTCAATCGTCGAATGTGTATGGGAATTTTAATTTTCTAAATTTTTAGGGACCTGTTCAGAGCCGATCATTTTATAAAATTGCCGACGGGGTTTGCGGTCAAGAAGATATTCAGAAGTGACCACCGAATCTTTGTGTCTGAAATTTTCTAAGTCTACCGCAGGGTTCGAACAGATGCAACCTGGGCCCAACAATTCCCTGGAACCTGAGAGTCAAGGAAAGGCCCATGTTCTGACACGATCCGACGGATAATGCGGATAGCAGGCTCTTGAGAATATGGCAAAAAGAATGAAAAACAGTACAAAATTTTGCTCTGGAAGCTGCAGTAGCAGATATCATTCTTAACATACATGCTTGGATTTTACGTTCCTTGAAGAGCTCACGTACTACCTCTCATAAATCTTCATAGAGCACAGAGTTTTTCAAAGCTTTCTTCACAGAATTGAATGAGACACCAGTATCTTTTTCACCGCGTCTTAGAGAATACAACACGCAACACGCTAGCGACGTGTACGATGCTCACCCACACTAGAGAAAAAAAGCACACGGTGGGAAAAATGAAATTGTCCCTGAGGTACGGCATGAGGTAGTTTATTTTTATCATTTGATCACGAGAGTGTTGGAAAGTGAGTGACCCTACGCCAAAATGGATCTTGAAGGAAAAAGAACGGTTTGTGAAGTTACGGCTAAGTAGCATGGCAAATGATACTTCGTCAGGTTCGAAGGATGCACGGAGGCGTCGTACCTCGTGCAGGGAGCTAGCTGGCCTGGGGAGCTGTGAAATCTAAGCAGGGTGACCCCAGCCCGATAATCCGGTGGCACTAGCAACTTCCTCCTGCTATATTATAGTACTGTTAATAAAGATATGAATTGATTCTGACTAGCCTTGAAAGAAAAATTGAGAAGCAATAAGTCGTGTCCCTGAAAGGACCAAGTCCAACCGGAGGGGCTGAGCCTAACGTTCGGCCTGCATAAGATAGATATGCTCTGGTGGCGCTTGTCCTACATTACTCCATTTCACTACGAAAGAGTGATTTTTAAGTACTTAGAATTGTTGTATGATGCTTCTTTAATCAATTGTATCCAAACAAGGGCACTAGCTATATAAGTACTGTTCTTAAGGATGATAGTTATTTATATAGAACGTAACTGTCGACTTAGCATAGATACTCCTAGACAGGATACTATCCAAAGGTGGATGTCACGATTACAGTGTACAACTACGGAAGGCAAAGGAGAGAACTGAGATTCTAAGAATACAAGCCAAACTTCTGATGTGCGCCACCTAATTTTGAAGCAAGTATTAAGTTGTCCTGAATGCTTTGACCCACGACTGAAAGAAGTAGCTTTTAAATTATAGATTAGTATTTCTAAATAAAATAGGTGGCATCTTAATCGATACCATGCTTCTGGTAAGACCATAGTTTCATCACTGCAGGCCTTCTGTGATCTCTAGACAAAATGATCCTTACGAGATAATTACGAAAAATGATTCTTGCACACCTCCATGAAAACTTTATTATTGAAAGAGGTGATCGTCTGATGGTGTAAGGCCCGGGCTAAATGGCAAGTGCAGTTAAAATCCCCTGCTTAGGTTCTCTCGCTGTTTGTCAGATAGTTAAAGACGTATATGATCTGGCATCGTGATGATGACGATACCTTTCCTCTTCACTAGTTTCAAGCAATTCTCTCTGATGCCTTATCGTAATCTCGTCAGTTGTTATCAGTAAAGGTCCCAAACAATCGTTCCGCCAGGCGGCAGCAGTCCATAACGCACGATTTATTTCCAATTTCACCAAACACAAAGCGTTGCCTTTTTTAGCGTCAGTACAGGCTTTACAATAAGTTTCAAAGCACATTGTTTTTGACCCGGACGGCTGGTATACGTGATTTTAAAGCTATATAGCTAGAAAGACAATTAATACGTTTTCGACGACCCTATATAATTCACCGAAGGCAAGCAAATCGCGTATTAGACAGATTTTTACTGTAAAAACAAAACCCATCATCTACCGAATTATAACACAGATAATAGATAAGGACGAACATATATATCATAGCTGTTCTAATCTTTCAAGTACTACTAGTCAGTTTATGCTCCCTATTCCTACTCTAAAGGCCAATTAAAACGAGATTGAAGAGCTAAGCGAGTGCAGGTAGATCGGGTACTTCTTTCATCCTGGGCCTCTACTTCGAAATCACCGAAGACCTACTCGACAGACCAGCCATCCCTATCACCTGTATTATAGTACAGTCTGTCTCAGAGAGATTTTTATTGGTATATGGCTTATTTCACTGAGAATTAGCTTAAGCCACCGTTCGGCAATCCTGGTGGTTCTATACTA